TCAAAATTCTTCAAAATTTTAACAATCCTCTTTTGCCAATCCAATATAGGAAAATTATCCAGGTCACTCTCTTAGTTCGTTATTTGTATAAACTTTCAATTACTAAGCTATCAGCCAGTTTCTATTGTATCTCTAGTATAACTTCTTTTTCTATGTGATTCTTGTAGCCTACCATTTTTAAATCCACTTTGAAATCAGTCTCAATCATGCCATACTTGTTCCTCTTCCATAACATTTTTAAACCATTTTTATCTACAGAAGTAGATATTCTTCAAATTAACTTCTGAGTCTCTTGTTCCAAAATATCCAAAATTAAAACATTTTGCTTCATTCTGTATTAGTAAGTTGACTTTGAATATTCTTCTCCTTTAACTGTAATATTCTAGTATCTTCTAATGCCCAATTTTTAAAGGTGTACCTTGTTTTTAATTCAAAACAAAACATTTTCAACAGGAAGGTTTCTTATAATCAATTCCAAATATTTCAAATTTATCTGGATCTTTAGTCTGTTCATAACTTTGTAAAATCAGTTTTAATAATCTTTTTGTCATTTATTTCTATAATGAAATGTGGAAATGACCTTGGGAGATAGAATGGAAGGAGGAAATGGTGCCTAGGGAATGATCAGCTAAGAGAGGGCAAACCCTCAGCTGCATTACAGGCAGATAAAGGAACCTCCCTAACTTATCAGGCTATTAAAAAAAATAAGATTGTTGTCAACCTTTCCAGGTAGACCAGATAAGAAACATGACCAGATTCTCTAATTCTATTTTATTGTAAGGCTCTATTAACAGAATCTTGCAAGACTAACAGTGCAAACAGGGCAAAACTCCCATTGCCCTTTTTACAGCCTGATAAGTTATGAAGGTCATAATCCAGACATTGGAGGAGAACAAGATAAAACAAACTATGGGGAAACACAACTGAAGAGTGCAGTTGTATTTCTAGAAAGAGTGCAGAGAAGAGCAACAAAGATGATTAGGGGACTGGAGGCTAAAACATATAAGGAACGGTTGCTGGAATTGGGTGTGTCTAGTTTAATGAAGAGAAGGACATGATAGTAGTGTTCCAGTATCTCAGGGGCTGCCACAAAGAAGAGGGAGTCAAGCTATTCTCCAAAGCACCTGAAGGCAGGACAAGAAGGAATGGATAGAAACTAATCAAGGAGAGAAGCAACCTAGAACTAAGGAGAAACTTCCTGACAGTTAAAACAATTAACCAGTGGAACAACCTGCCTCCAGAAGCAGTGAATGCTCCAACTGGAAGTTTTTAAGAGGAGACTGGACAGCCATTTGTCTGAAATGGTATAGGGTTTCCTGCCTGAGCAGGGGGTTGGACTAGAAGACGTCCAAGTGTTATTTTATTGTATTATAGAGTTCAGGGGGCTACCAGCTTGCAACAAAAGCCAGAGCAACCTGATGTGTTTATGCATTGCATATAAAAAGATCAGAATCATGAGTGATGGCAAGGCAGTTTTTCCTCTATAAAAATGGTAACTGGGGATCAACAGTTTGGCAGGAATCCTGTCTGTGCTGTGATTCTAATTCATCCCCAATTCCAATTTAACACAAGTACAATGTGTTAAATAGATGCCAATTTATAATAAAATGTAGATTAGCTCTAGACAATTGGGAATAGAACTTTTCCTTCCAGGACAGATGTTAGATTGCAAAGTCAGGAAGACCTTGCATAGCCATTAGGCATATGCAAAATGGTTCCAATGTGTTTCAGATGCAGCTATCAAAGGTAACCCTCTTTTGCACTTGAAACAAAGAATTTTCTGCCTTAGGAAGCACTGAGATGGGATCACTTCTCAGTCCATATGCTACCCATATATAGAAAATCATTGTGGGACTAAGACATTTCTAAACTGAAATAGTATAGTTACACTAAATCAATAATGAAAAGGTACCCTTCTGTTTTTAGACCTGTTTTGATGGAATGATTCAGTTGAATCCCCTTCAAGCTGAATAATTCCATAAAAGTATGAAACAAAATTAGTGGCCACCTACTGCTGTTATAGTTATATGCTCACTTTAAATGCATATGTGGATTCAGAGGTCCTTCAAAAATTGTACTGTTGGAACACCCCCCCCCCCATTTAAATACATTGCCAATGAGAAATAAACTTCATAACTCTGAAGGAATCTATTTGTTGAAAGATTGCAAAACTTATTTCTAATTTTTAAAAACTATTTTTTGAAACTAATTTTTCCTTCCCATGTTTTTCTCCTTTGGAGACAAAATGGCTAAGCATACTGTATCAAAGTAAAAGGTTGCCTTCATTAAGCATATTAAAGTAAAAAGGCATAGAGTATAGCTTTGAAATCCAGTCATTTTAAGAATGGTCTTTTCAAATTGCACACATAGACTTTTTCTAACTGTAAAACAGTTTGCACAAAGTAACAAATAGATATGTAAAAAAAAAATGGCCAGCAAGTTGTTCACATATCAAATCTTGGGCAAATTGCTAAAGTACTGTACATTATCTTGTTTTTCTTAATCCAACTTGGTTCAGATATGCTTTTGGGTAAATGCTTAACCTCCTGAGCTTTGTTCCCCAAATTTTTTTACTCATGTGTTCAGCACAATATGTTTTTCCAGAAGCTTTTCAAAATTATTTAACTGTTCCCATAGCAGAATATGAATGTAAAATAAACTTCTAAAATATGCCCCCAGCATATATTTCTCCAAGAATGCTTTTATTCTTAATCTACAGAACATTGCCAAGTCTTGTGCTGCCAAAATATAGTACAGTACAGAACAAAAATATATTGGAAAAGATTTTATGGAAAATAAATACATTACATAAATGTTTTCTCACCAATTAAGTAATTAATTAGATAAATTCTAAACCTTATGAAACATTCTTTTTTGGGATTCTGAAAAGCCCTTAAGATTTGGCTATGGTGGAACCAGAGACCTATTTAGATGATTCCACTCATGAATCACAATCTGTGTTCCTACTCTCTCAGGAATTGTAATTTTAACTTTTATGATATTTTAATATCAATTTCGTATTTACATTTTTCATCTGATGTCTGCCACCCAAAGTTACCTTTTGTGAGATGGACAGCTATATAAAATTCATAAATAACCATTTCTTCCCCTAAGATAGCTTGCAAAATCAAAAAAAATACACAATCCAACTATAAAACAAAGAAAAATCAACAATTAAAGAAATAGACAACTGATAAGAGATGGCTTTAAAAAACAAACATGGATATTTGATCTAGGAGGAATTATTTTTAACTTTAATTTTTAACGAAACCGCAGTTTCCTTACGAACAGGTAGGCCAGCATTTCTCGGTCTCCAGTAATAGTTCTGGGAGTATGGACCTCAACACTCAGAATTCTCATCAGTGGTCATGTTAGCTATGGAATTCTGGCAGTTGAAGTTCCTGACTGAGGAAAAGACCTTAATGAATAAGTTTTTTTTGTTTAATTATATCATCCTATATTTATATACAGTTTGAATGAAGATAAAATATTAATATATACAGGAAAAAGAAAAGAAAACTTTACATTGGGTATATTTATTTTTCCACATGATTGTATGTGCAAGATGCTTCCATATTGTAGAAAGTTTATAGGGTACATCAGTTTTGAAACTAAACAAGATGCTATCTCTCTTAAAACAGAAGCATAATTATAACAAGAGGTATAATCATCATCATCATCATCATCCAGTCTGAACATCTGGCTGACTGTGCGATGATCCATAATAATAATAATAATAATAATAATAATAATAATAATAATAATAATAATAATAGAGTTGGAGGGACCTTGGAGGTCATCTAGTCCAACCCCCTGCTCAGGCAGGAAACCCTATACCATTTCCGACAAATAGCTGTCCAGTCTCTTAAAAACTTCCAGTGTTGGAGCATTCACTGCTTCTGGAGATAGGTTGTTTCACTGATTAATTGTTCTAATTACGGAAGTTTCTCCTTAGTTCTAGGTTGCTTCTTTCTTTGGTTAGTTTCCATCTGTTGCTTCTTGTTCTGCCTTCAGGTGCTTTAGAGAATAGTTTGACTCACTCTTCTTTGTGGCAGCCCCTGAGATATAATTAAATGTACTATTCCATGCTAACTAATGTACAAAATGTCATTATTCCCATAGGAAACATAAGAAAAAGAAAAATAATTAGGAGGAAAATACTATGGATATTTTTTTTACTTTGTCTTAAAATGAAAAAAAATAATCCTATTAGATCAAACTGAAATCAAATAGATCTATTTGATTTTCTATATTATGAGTACAGATGCCTTTGAGAAGCAGTTGGTCAGAAAACTGAAAAGCTCCTGAGAGCATGAAGTAACTATGACTTATGTGTCTGGTATTTGAATGATTTTTCCAACTATACAAACTGTATTCATACACACACAGGGAATTTTTCCCCCCATACGACTAGTAATTACTTTGTTTCCCTATCCTGATGTTGCCCGGTGTTCTGGACTTCAATAATCCTTAGCCAGGGAAACATATTTGAGGATACCAGGTAAGAGAAAGCTATCAGAAACTGCAGAAGCATCTTTCAGCCACAGGAAATCTTAGGGGCTGAAAAAAGTGTCACAAAATACAATACATCAGGTTGAAGTACTGTTAACATGAAGCATCTTGTCTAGATGAAGGGCATTGCCTTGCATAGTCTATAAGAGAGCGCTCAAGCCTGCAAGCAGTGATGTAAACTTTGGCAGGGAAAAAAAGAATCTAGCTTTCTTTTCTTGCATGCAGCACAACTAGTATTATCAAACATAATTTATTTTAACATTACATCAACAACAACTTTAGAAAAAAAAACTGATCCTGGTTTGTAGAGATGAAAAAGAATTATTTTCTTTGTAAAGAGCACCCATTAGAATTGTGTCATGACAGGGCAGGAACAGAACTCAAGAGTAAAATACAATCAAAACTTGTACATAGTCTTTATATCAGGTTGCTGGCATATAAAAAAGCAAAATTATGTCCTAAATTTAGAAGTAATAAAAGGTGCTTACCAATTTTTTTTCTCCATCAATTTTTGGGTCATCCACATAAGTAAGTACAAAGTCTATTCTCCGTTTACCATCTCTGAAGAAAACAGAATCCTTGCTTTGATGTCTCTTATCAATCTAGATAGAACAGAAAGCATCACTATATCAGCATCCATTGTACATATATTAAATATCCTTATGTATCTAAGTTTTTTCAAACTTTCAGGAAAAGACTACGGTCAAATAAGGTTTAAATAACATTTATTTTCAGACAGATATTTGCAACACAGTTACAAAATATTTTTCTTATATTTGCATAGCCAAACACTGACATGACTGACTTTCTTCATAAATAAGCAAGCACAAATGCAGAGACGTTTGCCACAATAAAGTCACTCTGTTATAAAGATATTTATTAAACAGTAACATCTGAAGCCTACACTATGACTCACACATTCACCATAGAGTAAAGAAGCTAGTCAACATACATTTGAACGAGGACACAGAGTTGCTACTTTGAAATGCTCTTTTATGTTGCCAAAGTATTTTAGTCCAGTGCAATTTTGTACATTTTACTGTATAGATGATAAAGTGACAACATGTGAAAGCAGAAAGCATAAAAGCAGCTTTGAAAATAAAGAGTAAGTGCTATAATATTATAGTTTAGGAAAACAAGATGTGCAGAAATGAAATCTACCTGACTGCAAATTTTATGGGAATAAAAAGTATTTACAGTTGCACAGGTCTGATATTGTTTGTTTGTTTTTAAATATATTTCTTACTTTCAAAAAGTGATTAGTAGCAATCACACTGTAATAAATTTGGGTAAACTCCCCCTTTGTAATTTACTTGCTATTTCTGAACTTCAAAAGGAGATTTCTGGGACTTTCTAAATAAAATAAAATAAAACTAAAAACAATACAAAACAAAATCCTAAGAAAACTTTAAGGGAAAAAATCCCCATGATCATGTGATCAAAATTCAGATGCATGGCAACCAGTTCATATTTATGACCATTGCTGTGTCCCAGGATCAACTCTTGCAACCTTCTGGGACAGGTTCAGGGTCTTGCAATAATTGGAAGTATAAACAGGGAGAAGGAAAGATTCAGTTAAAGACTTTTTGTTGAGTATATTCAATGTAGTGCCAAGGTGCTGGCTATACACCAGAAGAGCGTGAGTTCTAGTCCTGCCTTGTGCATGAAATTGGCTGGGTTAGGCACTCTCTCTCAGTCCCACTGAGGAATAAAGATAGCAAACTTTGGAGGTTTCCATTTTGAATTCCTTCAGAACTAAATTTGGAGAATCCAAATGGTTCAGACAATGAGTTATTTATTCCAAAGGGTTGAACAATGTGATGGAATGTGCAGTTGGAAGAGTGGGAATAGGGGAATCTCAGCATTTGCACCATAGCTTCCTAGTCTATGGAGATTCTCAGTCATCCAGGTCATAGTTATTCCAAAGATGCTTTTTCACGAGGTAACTGGACTTTCTTGTTTTTCTTTGAAGACGTTTCACTTCTCATCCAAGAAGCTTCTTCAACTCTGACTGGATGGTGGGGAATGGAAAGATTATACTACTGCAGACAGCTGTTCATTTGCATTCTTCTAGTAAGTTGTTGATGCTACTTGGAGCTTATCTGTATCTTCAGGGTCACCTGAGTAGTGCAAATGGGTGTGGAGCCTTCTTGGAATTATTGAAAGGACTGTGTTGTAGACTAGAGATAGATGATGTCATATCCCTCCCCCTCTGTTGAGAGAGGGATGTTCAATTTTGACACAGATGGCCTCTTTGACCCCTCTTTCAAACCAGTGGGATCTATGTCAAAATTGAACAGCCCTCTTTCAACAGAGGGGGAGGGATACGACATCATCTATCTCCAGTCTACAACACAGTCCTTTCAATAGTTCCAAGAAGGCTCCAGGTAACATTAACGACTCGCTAAAAGAATGCAAATGAACAGCTGTCTGCAGGAGTATAAATCTTTCCATTCCCCACCATCCAATAAGAGCTGAGGAAGCTTGGGTGAGAAGCGAAATGTCTTCAAAGTAAAACAAGAAAGCCCAATTGCCTTGTGAAAAAGCATCTCTGGGATAACTACGACCAGGACAACTGAGAATCTCCATAGACTGGGAAGCTATGGTGTGAATGCTGAGATTCCCCTATTCCCACTCTTCCAACTGCATATTCCATCACATCGTTCAACCCTTTGGAATAAATGACTCATTATTTTCTGATTCTCCACAATTCTATAATACTTCTTTGGATGCTAATAAAAATGGTGTGCTGACTTCATTCTTAAGGGTACCAATGTCATGGTTTATCTAAAAGCATCATGTTAGTGTTTTTTTTCCATTAGGCTAGGGGTAAGATAAAATAATCTTTAAAGGTTCTTGCAGCCCTTCTACCCTTTGATCATGTTTGAATAAATATAAGGCACTTACCCTATGTATAAGAGAGCACCACTATAAGGCTGAGTATAGGCTACAGAAGAATTGGATTCACAACCTCATATTTGTTATCTAAGTGATTTATACCTATTTTTAAAATGCTAGACTTTACTAAATAGCATTTTATGTCAAGAATTATTCCAATGCAACATTTTTTTCAATTGTCAAAATAAATTTAGCAATTAAAAAGTTATAACATAAAGCTGCTTCATATCTTTCAATGAAACAGGAGCTATATAGACAGCTCTAGGATCGTTATCTTTTGACAGATACTGAATTCTCTCTAAGTGTGTATGATTTATATTTATCTGTTTAAGGTACAGGCTAAAATTCATTACTTCATCTTGTTCCCTATTAAAGAGAGACATCACATAATGAAGCTTGTTATCATTGCAGCCATCCAGGTGTTAGTGGTACAACTTGTCAATGGTTTACCCTGAGACGTCGTTTCAGGAACAGATTGAATCTCCTTCCAGACTTCTGGAATAACCAACAGGGTGTTAACATATGAGCAAACTCTCTTTTTTTTTAAAAAAAACACCTAACTCTACAACTTTGTATGATCGGGGATTGAAGTAATTTCCCCAGATTATTGAATAACTTTACAATCTGAAGGAAACGAAGGGGCAAGAAATGCCTATATTAGGTCTTCAAGAAAGCCTTCTACAAGCTGTTGTCCTCCAAATATGCTAGAAATGAAACTGCCAGAATTTGCAGTCCTGCTATTTTGGAATGCTTCAACAAATCTGTAGGAAATAAAAGGCGTTGTAATATTCAGAATAGCCATCCACAGCCTCCTTAGGAGATGTAGAGTCATTGTTTTCATAACCCTTTCATATTTATTATTCATGGATAGAAGTTACCAGCTTGGATTCAACTGGTGGTGTTATAACAAGAATGAATGATGTTCTGCCAGAAGAATGGACATTGACTTTTGAGGACCCACATTTGTACTTATAGACTTCCCGAATTACTTATTATACCTTTATATTAAGTTAAAGAAAGTTATATAAGAAGTTGGTTTCTTAACAAATATAAGACTCGTTTTATGATCCTATCCAGATTAAATATTTTGTAATTAATCCATACAACAAAGAACAATATTCATTCAGAGCTATATAATAATATTCTTGTTACCAACATGGAGAAGTTATATTCTTCAGAGCTAGTTTCCGTGTTTTTAGAGTTATGAGATAATGCAAGGTTAGTCACATATTATGTCCTTTGTCTTATAGGGTAAGTCTTATTTTATTCCTGACCTTAGTTTTCATCAAAATGTAATATTATTAAATACTTGGCCTTTCTTTATCCATAAATCTGAAATAAGCTATAATGTGTACCTTGCTACATTTATCAATATTTAGTGTAAAGTGGCTTTAACTTCTGAGGCAACAGAAACAAAAATCTGATTTAGGAGATGGAATCTGATCTTGGATAAATCTCCATTTATCTCTCAGTAACTTCAATGGCTGCTTTTTTTCTACCCTGGAATGAGAAAACTCTGAAAAATGTGGCAGGGTTTGAAAGTCTAGAGCAATTGAAGGTAGAGAGACTGAAGGAGTCACATGCTGCCAAATCTCTGCTGTGAGGAGATATGATTCATTTATTTGTTTTTCAAAGGAAAAAAATAGTAGAAAAAAAAAGCAAATGCTATTTGTTTCTCCACATGTACGTTGCCAGTATATTACTAGAAGGGTGATAGGTTCATCAGGTTTTTTTTCAGTTGTAGTCTCATATATACTTATCTAAAAATAGGTCCTACTGTACTCCAAGAAATTTTATTCTGCGCAAACATGCATATTATTGCATTGCTATGAAACAAGTATATAGTTATGATCAGAATTATGAAAATCCAGCACTTAGTACAATTGCAGAGGGCAATAGAGAGCATCTTGAGGATTTTAGATTCTGTCTTTAAGTAAAGTCAGCCTTAAGCAAAAGGTGGATTGTCAATGTCCAGTGAAAACTCAGAAATGAATATTTTAATATTGTACTGTCCTTTGTGCCTCTCCTATAAGATAAAATGCCATTGTATTATTTTTGCAATACAAGAGACTTCTCACTAACATAATAAAATACGTCTTCCTAGATTAGGATCTTATATTTTAAAAAAAATGTCAACACACATCACACATTAATATCATTTTATATCACACACACACACACATACACACAAAATGGGGCATTTTTGTGCTGTTTTGTCTCTCAATATTTTTCAAGATATTAGAATATAAACCAGAAGAATATAAATGTTCCTATTACACTTTTGAAAAAAGCACTGCATAGTTTAATTATTTTGCTACATAAAAAGTTATATAAACCTTAATAAAAAACCAACATGGTTTTTTACTAATAAAAGGTTTTCACCAGCCTTTCAAATATAGATTCATAAAGAGAACACAAACACGGATTAAATTGCTTTTTAAGATTTACTTTCATTTTCTTTCAATATTATTATACTTTTCACCATATAATATTTTAAGGCAGTAATAGAAAAACTCTGCTCCCACATCAAAACTATGAGTTATATCAATGCACCAAAAGACCCATGGCAAAAGTTAGTAATAGAAAATATATATTACCAAGATATTACCCATGTGAGGAGCTGAAGAAGTATTATATCAGAATTAATTACATTTAAATTACTTCTAAAAGAAAGAAATATACATTTTAGGTCTATTTTCTGAATACATTGAGGTAATCAAAACAGATACAATTTTATCCTGCTTTTGCTCATTAGAAATTATTTACTTTCTAAGAGTAAGCTATATTATACTTGTTTGGCCTTCAGCTTTAAAACTATTCCACTCAGAATCCCCCTGCCCCAAAATATAAACTTGATCCTTCACTGCAACTTACAGGGAAGTGATGTACAAGTAGTTTACTTAGAGAGTGCATGCAATTTTTCACTGCTGTAGAAATAAATGTGGTGTTAATAAACAAGCCAAAGATCTGTTAAAAAAGACTCCAGACCCTTAATGTAAACTCATTCCAAAGCAAAATCAAACACTAAAAAGAAAAAAAGAAAAGAAAAATAAAAACCTTTCCAGTTTTCAGTATTAGGTAGACTTTTCAAAGATGTTTATTTTTTGTATACAAGTATACATTTAGTGATTTTTTTTCCAAAAATCTTCCAGTGGAAAATATTAGAGGATTATAGCTTTGGTGAGGCAATCAGTAGTATTTAAGCAATAACCCCTTACAAAACTATTATTTCAGAAATGTAGAAACCTACAAACTGGTTTACTTAACCTCTAACCTTTCATTCATGTCGGAACTATATTTTCTCATATAACTGGGAATTTTTATAATTGCAATTCAAATCTTCTCCAGCCACACTGAAGAAATCAGGTGTTCAAAAAACACCTGAATTTTGAAATGTAAATTTTATTCTTTGAAAGAAAACTGGAAAAATCTTTTTTTCTCTCTCTCTTTCTCTCTCTTTCTTTTGCTGCACTTTGGCAAACGGAGAGCACAATACCATTCATGCAGGAATATATAACCACTTCCCCTGTAGCTGCTTACCCCTTGAAGGTCAGAGATGAGCACTGTGGTCTCAGTGGTACTTAGGCCCTGCCAGTGGCATCATGGAAAAATATAATGCTGTTAGTGTGGTGCAAAAGCAGCAGGATGCTTATAAAAATGCAGCAACCATAAAACTCTGTGGCATTTTTTGGTTTGTTGTTTATGGTTCAAAGCTGTGATGAATGATTCCCAGTTTAATTCTTAAAACAACTATGGATCACTTAAGCCATTTGTCATCTTTTAAGTATTTAGACTAGATAGGAATCTACTAATAACTTATGTTTGACATGGATTTTCTCTACTTTGTCAAACATTTAGGATTATAATTTTAAAAGCTTGCTATATAAAGAATGACTCAATAATACATTTTGGATGCGATTAAAAAGTATTGACATGGCATTTTTGAGCTCTTTAAATATTCTTACACAAATTTGTTTCATTTAGATATTCAATGTTCAGGTCTAGCAGTCTCTGGAATACAATCCATATTACCCTATAAAACAGAAACCTAATGCAGGTTTCAAGAAGATGTTGAATTCAATACAATAAAGTTATTTACATAATTTAGTGCCAATGCTGCTATAGCACTTAAACATAACAAAGTGAATTACATTGATAAGTGATGTTGGCACATTAAGAAAAAAGGGAACAAATGCTTGAGGTATTAGTTTTAAATATAAATAGGGGAACTGAAACAATCGCCTAGATATATTAACTTCATGAATATGTATTGGGGAATGATTATTTTTTTTATTAAACATGCATTTTCTTTTAGTGTTCTTTAGCAAAAATTAAACTAGACCTATGTTATTAGTGCGTGATTAGTTTGAAAAACCCTTAAATAAATGAACATCTCTGTACTTTCACAAATTTCCTTAAAATAAAAGCAGAGAATTTGTTGTAAAAAGCAAAGTATACATATTTAGTAATCTATCAGAACTAATTTGAGCAACACCACTTACATTGTCATAAGTATTATGAATAAAATGTGTTCTCCTAATGATATTTCCATAATTTATCTTGTAGGCCATATAACTTGCTGTCCATAAACTAGAATTAAAGAGCTAGAAATTTCTGATCTTTTAACACTATTATAAATGTGTATCCAGCCTTTATAGCCAAAAGCTATCCAATCTTGCTGTCCAATTCCCACTGCCTTATCCCGACGCTTCACTTATCCACCTTAAAATAAAGCCATTCACATTTCCTCATCTGCTTCCAATCCTCCTCCATTGTCTATCCCAAATTAAAACATGTCAAATCTGCTCCCCTACTTTTGCCATCTTCTCTTACTATCCTTCACTGCAAACACCAATTTCCACCTACCACAATCTTCACTGATTTGAATCCTTTCTTTTTTCTATCTTGATCTTTTCCTTGCCTCCCATCTCTATTTTTATTTCACTCCTTTTTCCCACATCTTACTATGAGCACTGATTTTGTTTCCCTTTCCTAACTTCTGTAGATTAATCTGATTGAAACTTCAGTATAGTTTTTTTTTGTTGTTTTTAGTATCTAGAATATAATATTTGAAAATTAATTCAAATCTTGCCTGATCTTTATGTTCTCTTAGGAAATTTCAAGACAGTAAGTATGAAGTCTGGTGAGACATTCAAAAAGTCAATAGTTAAAATATTAACAAAAGTATTTAACTTTGGTAGTTCAAAACTTTACCAAATCGCACTGTGACTTCTAAGTCTGAAAAGTTGTGAATTAAGGAAACAAATGAGATGTACAAGTTGACTTATGTTAATTATTTATATAAAAATATGTGTACAATCTGAGATGTTTAAAGTTTTTTCCCTTCCATTTTTATCCACATTTATATAAATGTATTTTTTTATATTTTGATTTGTTTTAGAATTATATAATTTATATTATATTCTAGTTGATAAATCCTTCTATTAATATCATTTTCCATAGCCCTGAATGTAAAGAATGTACATAAGCAAATATGCAAATCAAAGAAATTTCTATTAAGTAGTTCCAAAATAAAACAGTAAATTTTAATCTCAGGGCATGCTGATGAATGTATACTATGGGAAAGAGACTGTCTGGCTAATATAGCGGTTAATGTTAGAGAAAGTTGGGCCTCTTCAAAAGTTATCCCCATTTCCATATGTAAATTCTGCATCAAAATATGGAATTTAACTTGTAAAGAGAATCGGATCAAGGTGCACGACAGAACTATGCTGTTTGCAGGGGATAATATTAGCTACTATTTTTCTCTTTGCCTTCAAGATCAAGTCAATTTTCTTTTCAGACTCTGTTTAAAGCAAGTTAGGAAATACATAGTTCCATTTCTATAGTTGGAAATTCAAATAGATTTAGGTTGATTTAAAAAGCAGTCCTATTTTTGAAAGTTGGTGAAAGTTAAGATAACAAAGAGGTTGCTTCCTATGGCAGGAAAAGAGTTGAGGCTGTTTCTAATGATATTTGCATAGGGAGAAAGCTATTATTATTATTATTATTGGATCATTGCACAGTCAGCCAGATGTTCAGACTGGATTTGGCATTTTGTCTACCTATCGAGTCCTTACCCAGGACCTGGGATAGGCAGATGTGGATGTTTGATGGTTATTGTTTATTATTATTATTATTATTATTATTATTATTATATTATTATTATTATTATTATTATTATGGATCATCGCACAGTCAGCCAGATGTTCAGACTGGATTTGGCATTTTGTCTACCTATCGAGTCCTTACCCAGGACCTGGGATAGGCAGATGTGGATGTTTGATGGTATTACAGATATCGTCGCAGGATGGAAGCAGTTCCTAGTAAGGCCGCCTTTTGCAATTGACTAATAGCGAATTTGTCAATGCCAATGGTGTTCAAGTGGTGCTCCAGTTGTTTTGGGATTGCACCCAAGGAGCTTATGACTATTGGTATAATTATTATTATTATTATTATTATTATTATATTATATTATTATTATTATTATTATTATCATTCATCGCACAGTCAGCCAGATGTTCAGACTGGATTTGGCATTTTGTCTACCTATCGAGTCCTTACCCAGGACCTGGGATAGGCAGATGTGGATGTTTGATGGTATTACAGGTATCGTCGCAGGATGGAAGCAGTTCCTAATAAGGCCGCCTTTTGCAATTGACTAATAGCGAATTTGTCAATGCCAATGGTGTTCAAGTGGTGCTCCAGTTGTTTTGGGATTGCACCCAAGGAGCCTATGACTATTGGTACTACCCTTGCTTGCTTTTGCCACAGTCTTTCTATTTCTATTTGTAGGTCTTTGTATTTTGTTATCTTCTCCAGTTCTTTCTCTTCTATTCTGCTGTCTCCAGGCACTGCCACGTCCACTATCCAGACTTTTTTGTCTTTCTTATCGACAATTGTTAAGTCTGGGGTGTTATGTTGCAGGTGCTTGTCTGTTTGAATTCTGAAGTCCCAGAGCAGTTTAATTTTATCATTTTCTATGACTTTCTCTATTTTATGATCCCACCAGTTTTTGCTTACAGGCAAATGATATTTTTTGCAGATCTTCCAATGCACCATTGTTGCTACTTTGTCATGCCGCTGCTTGTAATCAGTCTGTGCAATCTTCTTGCAACAGCTTACCAAGTGGTCCACTGTTTCTTCAGCTTCTTTGCATAGGCGGCACTTACTGTCTGTTGCTGTCTTCTCAATTTTGACTTTGTATGCATTTGTCCTTAAGGCTTGGTCTTGTGCAGCCAGAATTAGTCCCTCGGTCTCTTTCTTCAATTTTCCTGCTCTTAGCCATTGCCAGGTTTTATTATTATCTGCTTTCCCAGCTATTTTTTTCATGTATTGGCCATGTAGTGCTTTGTCTTCCCATGCCTCTATTCTGTTCTTCATTTGGTCTTTCTTGTAGGCCAGTTTGGTCTCTCCAGTAGTTAGTAAGCCTTCCTGATATACTAATTTCAGTGCATCTTCATCATTGTTCTTCAGATATTCTTCCAAAGCCATTTATTATTATTATTATCGATCATCGCACAGTCAGCCAGATGTTCAGACTGGATTTGGCATTTTGTCTACCTATCGAGTCCTTACCCAGGACCTGGGATAGGCAGATGTGGATGTTTGATGGTATTACAGATATCGTCGCAGGATGGAAGCAGTTCCTAATAAGGCCGCCTTTTGCAATTGACTAATAGCGAATTTGTCAATGCCAATGGTGTTCAAGTGGTGCTCCAGTTGTTTTGGGATTGCACCCAAGGAGCCTATGACTATTGGTACTACCCTTGCTTGCTTTTGCCACAGTCTTTCTATTTCTATGTGTAGGTCTTTGTATTTTGTTATCTTCTCCAGTTCTTTCTCTTCTATTCTGCTGTCTCCAGGCACTGCCACGTCCACTATCCAGACTTTTTTGTCTTTCTTATTATTATTATTATTATTATTATTATTATTATTATTATTATTATCTCACTAACTCTTACAAGTGGAATTGTCTGAAATGGGAAGTTCATAGACAGGTATGAACAGGAACGGAACACACAAGAACTGGTTTCTCCTTAAAAGAGATACCCAGTCCAGGCTAAATGATCCCATTCCAAAACAACCTGGAGAAAAAAAAATAAAAAAAATCCTATTATAGTTAATGGGAGGTGAGGTTGCCAGTCTGTTTTTTAATATATCTGATAGAGATAAATAATGAAAATGCACCCACTGTCATTTTCTACTCAGGTAAGTGAACGTTGGTATAATTTGGCCAAGGTGTTAGTGCTGTTTTTAAATTCTCTATGGAACTAATCTAAGGATGCCTTAAAAGTAACATAAATATATGAGAATTGATGGAATGGATATTATTTAACAAGTTAAAAATGCTGTGTTTAGTACACACTTATATGATTGACTTAACTTAAAAGGAAAATAAATTAACTCAAATTAATGGAAATAATGGTAAAATGAACATGAGGCACACACATTCCCAAACTGGAAAGAAAAAATCATTAGCTATCAAATGTTGAAAATAAATACAATATTGCAAATGGTTAGCAATGAAACAGCTGAACATCATTACAGGTCATCTACCCCCATTAATGATGTTTTTAAAGTACAACTTAGTACTTCAGAACTCATTCTGGGATAAAATTTAGATCCCTTATTGAACTATGGACACTTAGTACTGATACCAACAATTAACTTGATATTATTTTCAATCAGATATGCATGTACGATTTCATTCTGACAAACTGTGGGGAGTAATAATAATAATAAAATATATTTTAAAACAGTTCTGCTCAATATGGTCTCTTCCAGATGTATTGGCTTGGAATTGAAAGAACTGGAATCTTTTTTTGAAAGCAGAAGATTATGAATGGCTGCTTATCAGTATGGCTACTGCTAGATTGCAGACTGCTAATTACATTTTACTTGAAAGTCAACAAATATAAAATTCTGCAGGGCCACAACCAGCAAGAATTGACAATCTTATTATCATAAATGTATGTTTAAATAGTATTTTTAAAATAAATAATAATTAAAAAACATACAAATTTGGTTTGGAAGGGTAAGGTTTGGCAATATTTATAGTTATCTCAAGTAATTTCCATCAATAATATCCAATCTCATTTTATAAAACCATTTATATCCACAGTTAAAGCTTACCTCAGAATTGCTAGGAAATTCTGATTCTGTATTTGATGTAGTTTCAAACAAAGGTCCATTACTTTCTTCTCCTGAACAATATATAAAAAAAGTATGTTTACTTCTCATGTTTCCTATTTTAAATATTGTTTTCATTTGCTTATATAAGACATATAAACACACACAAAAACTCTTGATCTTAAATGTATTAAAATACTAAGCAAGCAAACATCATCCAGTTTTGCAACATTATTCAAATAATGCAACAGTAAAAGGGATTAAATTTAAACTTTACAAATTTCAAATGCCTATGAAAAGGTCTACACACTTACCATCTTTTACTTATTTTAAGTTGAGCTGCATACAAGTTTAATAAATTAGAATTATTATTATTAATAATTATTATTAATGACTGGGACAAAAATGGTAAGTTAATGTCCCTGGTAAAATATTCTGTAACCAGATACTAAGAAGTCATTCTCTGAAACAACCAATAACAAGTTCACCTTTAGGACTGAAACAGGTATCATCCAGACATCATCAATTATAAAAATATCACTGGAAGAATCTGCTTTCATTTCTGATTAGTCCCAGATTTTAGCAACTATATTCTACGAGTCCACAATAACCCAGAAGCAGCAGCATACAAATGTCAATATAAAACAAAAGGAATAATGAAATTCTTAACCCACTATATTATTACATACTAAGCCAGATCAATGTACAAAACCACTCATTCAGTAAATGAACTCATGATGGCACTGAATGACTGGTACCTATGACTGGTCCTCATACTTACATTGGTGGCAGCATATCCGTGGTCATGTAAATGTGATCTGGGCAATTGTATGCTGGCTCACAACTATGACATTGCAACATCCTGTCATCATGTGATTGCCATTTGCAACCTTCTTTTCCTACCCAAAAAGGCAATGGGAAGGCAGCAGGAGGTCACAAATGGTGACCATATGACGTTCTCACTTAACAACATGGGATTCGCTTAATAATGGCAACCAGAAATGCCAGAACCTCCACTGCACTGCTTTATACCCACATTGCTTAGTGACAGAAATTCCAGTTCTAATTACATTTGTTAAATGAGGACTAGCTGTAGCTTGTTGTTCAGAGCAATCAATACAGTTCAGTTAGCTTAATACTGCATATACCAGTGGTTCTCACCCTTCCTATTGCCGCGACCCTTTAATACAGTTCATGTTGTGTTGACCCCCAACCCTAAGGGCTCTCCAAACACGCATCAATGACGCCCACTCACCCTCCGCGCCCGGGGCTCAGCGTGCATCACCTGTCCTCACCTCACTTCTGAAGGTTGCCAGCCTGCCTGGCTCCAGCTGGCTGGGGAGGGAGGGCAGGAAGACTGCTCCACCGGCTCTGCCCAGCCTGGTTGGAGAAGCGCCCAGGCAGGGAGAGAGAGAGGGAGAGAGAGAGAGAGCGCCAAGAGGGTGACAGCGTCGGCAGAGCTTAGTTCAGCCTCCTCAGCAGAAAGGGCCACAAAGCAGCGCAGCCTCCCTTACGAGATGCTCGATGGAAACGAATCCGGTGCTGCAACGGCCCCCAGCTCGAAGCCGTGCAGAGACGGATAGAGGAGCGGTGTCTCAGTTCCTAAGACCATCGGAGATATGTGTCACGACCCACAGGTTGAGAACCACTGGCATATACTAACTTGTGTATACAGATAGTCTTTGACTTACAATGGAAATTGGGACCAGACTTTCCAGACTAAGTCCCTACAGTCCTAGTTGTCATTGTTAACTGAATCCCACAGCTGTTAGGTGAGGCAATTTTCTGGCACCTTCCCACAACCAAAGTCAGTGGGGAAGCTGGTACAAAGTTGTATGTCTCAGGCCCATAGGTAGGCAAGTGGATATTGCTAGGTAAGGGAGGGAGGGAGGGGCTGTAAGGCAGAATGCATGAAACATGCAGTGAGAATCAGGGAAGGTGCAAGGGAGGATTGGGGAGAATGTGAGGGCATGTGTAAGAGATGCCACACAAGTTAGAAAGGGTGCAGTGAGGGTCAGGATGTGTGCAAGAGGTGCAGCGCAGGTCAGGGAGGGTGCCTGAAGGAGGGTCTAGGTTCTGGTTAAGGAGGGTACATGAGGTTGTACAAGAGGCACTGTGTGGGTCAAGGAGGGTGTGAGGGAATGCATGAGAGATGCAACACAGATGAGGGAAATGCATGATGGTGCAGGGACGTGAAGGTGTGAAAGGGTACATGTGAAGCATGGCACATATCAGGTGTGTGAAGCTGTGAAATGGGTCACGGAAGAGGTGCAGTTCATGTTAGGGCGAGTGTGCAAGGACATGGCATGGAGAGAGGGGATGAAGGAGAACACCATTGGTGCAGACTATGATGGATGTGTGATGGTGTGAGAGATGCCTGGTGTGTTTCGGTAAAGATGCCCGAGGATATTGTGCAGTCCAGGGGGGGTTGAATGTATGAGGCTGCGGCATGAGGGAGGTAAAGCAGGAGAGGAAGCCACCTTCCTCACAGGCTTCCCCACTTATTTTCTGGGAAAGGCACAGGGAAAGTTGAAAATGGAAATCATGAAATTGTGAGATGCTTGGCAACTGGGTGCAAGTGTGAATGGATTGCCAATGGGCTGCCAGATCATTATCACATCACTGCAGGGTTGCTGGCACAGCCAGAACTCATATTACCAAGTAACAAGTATTTTAAGAGTCTGCAAAGATATTTGGCTAATATAAAAAATACCATGCTAACACAGTTTCACTTACTCAAACAAATATCAATGGATTTATATTTATATTATTCATTACATTTAACATGTTGCAGGAGTAGTTCTTAACAAACCAAACAATGAACTCTAACCTACAACTGAGAGCTAGTTTACTATATTGTGGTTTTGGCACCAGCTAAAAACCAGCAAACTGTGAAATCTAGTTCTGCCTTAGGATAAATCCTGGGTAACTATGGGTCTATTCCTTTCCCTTAGCTAAAGGAAGTGGGCAATGGCAAACCACTCCTAAAAACAATAACAGGAAGACAACAGAGACTAATCCCAGAAGTTGTCAGATGGTAAAACTGAATCAAAGCATAAACGAAAAGAAAGAACTAGGATTGTAATATACTGTATACCAGTGATGGCAAACCTTTTAGAGACCGAGTGCCCAAAAACTGGCCCCGCCCTGCTCCACCCCCTGCCCTGCCCCTGCTCTGCCCACCCATCCCCCACCCCGCCTGCCCGCAGGGCCACTCACCACCTCCAGGGCCTGCCGCAGATCGCTCAGGCAGCCCAGCAACGCTATGCACCCTGCAGCATCAACTGTGCACAATGAGGCGTGAGGGCAGAGTCTTGTCTACGCTGCCTGGCTGCCATTTCCTTGGCTGCGCTGCTCTGCGTGGGCCACGCTCAGGGGTGGCTCTCCTTCAGGGGGGCTGCTGGAAAGGAGGGAGCCATGGGGGGAGGCGAGGCTGGGGCAACAGCACGTGTGCCCACAGAGAGGGCTCTGAGTGCTGCCTCTGGCACCCATGCCATAGGTTTGCCACCACTGCTGTATACATTACAAAATTAATTCAAACCAACTTGTCTCAGGAATTATTATTGCTTTATTAGATATGGACAATATGTGGTCCTTGAACCATTCTTGTATCTTGAAATGTATCAAAGAAGGAGCTGGTTAGGTATAAAACTATATAACTCTGAAAACTCTGAGATACTTAACTTCTGCAGTGAGTTCTTCCCTTTGTCACCATTGTGGCTTCATGAAAGAGTTGAATAGCATTTATTTTCGTTTTAGTTTAATCTCAGTTTGCTCTGCCAGCCAGAGTCAAATGATAATTGATTTTAACAGAATTGAGAAATGCAAGTTACTATGTCAAACTCTAGTTACTGTAGTTTATTTCATACTGTTGAAGTAACAATAGTTTTAAATTTTCATATCTAAATTTATATTCAAACTGTGCCAGGTTTTACTTCCAAATGTTAATGCCACAATTTCAGGACAAATTTAAAGGATAGAAAGGGCGAGTATATAAATAATTTGCTTCCTATTTCCATTGTTGTTGTTAATTGCGAAGTCGTGTCTGACCCATCGCGACATCCTATTTCCATACCTACCATAAAATTCTAAAGCCTCCTTCATACACCAAACCTGTCTTTCCTATGATGTAAACACATCACCAGACATTCTCCTGATGTTCCCCAGATGGTTGAGTTCCAGATCCTGATATTACCTACCTCTGTGACTAGTTCATAAAAAATAGTCACAAAAAGTGGATTTTAAGCTTTTTAAAAAATCCATTTTTTCTTTTGACTATTTTTTTACATTACGACATAAGTAGTATAAAAAACAATTATGCAAAGCCCTACATGAACAGAAGATACAAATGGACACCTCAACAATGGAGCCATCTAAGCAAATTTCCAGTTGCTTGGGAATGTCATATCTCAGTGGTGGCGAACCTATGGCACGGGTGCCAGAGGCGGCACTCGGAGCCCTCTCTGTGGGCACACATGCCGTTGCCCCAGCCTTGCCTCCACCCGCGACCCCCTCCTCACCAGCAGCCTCCCTGGAAGAGAGTCGCTCCTGAGCATGGCCCGCAGGGAACAGTGCAGCCAAGAACATGGCAGCCAGGCAGCGTAGACAAGACTTCCCTATGCCTCAACGTACACAGTTGATGCTGCGGGGCGTGAGCAGACGGCGTGGCCGCCATGGTGCTGCTGGGCTGCCTGAGCAATCTACGGCGGGCCCTGTACGTGGTGAGTGGTCCTGCGGGCAGGCAGGGTGAGGCGGAGTGGGGGCGGGGCAGGGACGGGGCCAGTTTTGGGCAATCGGTTTCTAAAAGGTTCACCATCACTGTCATATCTGATAACACAACCAGGTCTTGAGGGCCTCCCAAAATAACAAAAGGGATGGTAGGGATGATAATGGTTGTAGTGCATTCAGAATCCTGTCTCTGAAAAGTAAGAGATTTTGAGAACCAAATGGCAGGGGTTTAAATTACAGATACAGTAAAGAGGAAATTCAATAAAAGCCAAGGTGATACGTGTGTATTATTTCTACAACAAAGTATGGTTTACTATTCTTTAGAAACTTTGTTAAATCAC